CCCCCCAGACTCCCCCCCCGATAAGTTACAACTCCCCTCATAGACCAAGAGGCACGCACTGCGTTGGCGCGTTTTCGTTCATGTGTGCACTCTTCATGCACATGCATAGATAGTTCTGGCACTGTTTGTGAACAAAGAGTAAATCCGACCAAGCAAAGGCCCAAAGCAAGCAACCGCATAGCAAATCAAAGGCCGTCACCCGCCCGCCACTGCAAACCACAGCACACTAGGACTCTACCGGTTCATCATGTTCCGGCCCCTGCTGCTGCTGTCCAGCCACTTCCTCAGTGCGTCAAGGAACGGGAACGTGCCCAGGTCGAACAGGTCCTGGGTAAACATCCGCACACACAATGCTAGGTGCTCGTCCAGGCGGTTGCGGGTGGGGTCCTGCAAGTACCCCATGGCCGAGAACCGCCGCTCATCCTCCACCGACCCCGGCACCATCACTAACACCAGCTGGGCCAAAGCCGAATACTCCGTTAAGCCGCCGGCGAGGATCGCACAGTTGCCGATGGCCTGCCACACCCGTGCTGTGGGTGTGTCATCGAGCAGCACCCGGTGCTCACGCTTGGATGTGGGCGCGTCTGGGTCCACTGCTGCCGCCTGCTGCCTCTGTCGCTCGGTCTGCTCTCGCGCCCGCCTGAGGAGCTGCTGTGCAGCAAGCTGATTCATGCTGGAGGCGAACAAGTTCGCCTGCCGGTCCAGCAAGGCGCTGTCCAGCATTGGTGGCACCTTGCTGGAGTTGGCGCCCACCCGCTCACGGCAGTAGTAGTCCTTGAGGATCTTCAGCTTCGCCTTGAAGTCGGCTGCCGTGGGCCTGTTCTCCCAGTACTCACTGTAGACAATCGACGCCGCCTCCAGCAGTGGATGTGGGGGAAACCGCGAAGACAGCTCACCTATCAGCTCCTCCGCGGCTGACATGTCTGCCTGCACCGACTTCACGACCTGGGCCAGGCGGTCCGGTGTCAAAGGCGGTGGTGTGCGGTCTCGGCCAGTGCGAGGAGGATCAGCGGTGAAGGGGTAGAAGCCGCTGCTGCCACACATCAGTCCGATCCGCTCCTCCCCCGGCGTGTCGGGATTGAACACCCAGGCGGTGCCCTTGATGTGTCCATCGACTGACAGCAGCTCCTTGAAGTCCCCAAACTCCACGGTGGTGTAGCGGGTCTCCGGCCTGAGGTACATGCCGCGCAGCCGATCCTTGGTGCGCTGAAGCGCCTTGGCCAGCTCACCAATATACAGCCCACGGCTCTGGCAAAGCTTGATGAACATGTCGATGGTGACCAGGGCGGACATCAGCGCGTGCATTGAGACATACAGGCGTGCGTCCCGTAGTGTGTTATACAGCTTCTCCTCCTCCTCACAGAACAGCGGCAGCAGCGCTGGGTACTCCGCCAGTAGGGAGGCTGCCGGCTTTCGTGCACAGATCCACCTTGTTTTTACAATGCGCTTCAGCCGGTTGCCATCCGTTCCTGCAGCCTTGGCCACATCCTTGAACATGCTCACACGCTTAGCACTGCCCGAGAAGTAGTTGTAAACGTCCTTGATGACGCTCACAATCATCTTGATGACCGGGGCTTTTTCCAGCACGGCAATGGCGAGGTTTGTGCGGTGTGCCATGCAGTGGATGCTCAGCAGGAACGGTGCGGTCTGGCTGAGCCTTGCTGACACCCCATTATGCACACCCGTCATCACGCTTGCACCGTCAGTGCTGACCGCTACGAGCTTGCGCGCCAAATCCTCCTCCCCGAGGTTGCCCTCCACGTTCAGTGTATCCAGCACCAACTGCGTGATGTTCTCAGCGTCTGGTGCGCCCCGTACATGCGCCAACTGCGGGGATGCAGGGATGTCCCATGTACTTAAAGTGGACACAAGTTCAGAAGATAGGAACTTGTGAGGAATGATGTTACAACTTGTGGAGAACAAGACAAATGCGGCAAACTCCCAGTCCCGGCAGCCTGTCCACCCGTTAAAACTCACATCGATCAGGAGCGGCAACCGGCTCCACTGCGCATCCATGACGTACACGTGCAGGGAGAGGCGCGAATTCTTGTCGATGCCCACGCACTCGTCCATGCTCAGCGAAATGAATCGCGCGCTCCGCACAAGCTCCCGGACCTTGTCCATCAGTACCCCGTCAAGCGCCTCAGCGAGGTTCCAGGCTGAGAAGCCGCTCCAGTGTGAGCTGCTTATGTGTGGGACGGACAGCGCCTCGAACGCCTCCTTAGAAGCCATGAAGTCCGTGATGGGCCGCCCCCGGGTAAGCTGCCAGAAGAGCTGGATGAGCTGCTGGTGCTTGGCCTTCTCTGCCTCCGTGTTCCCGGGGTGTAGAGCTGTGGCAGGGTCGCGTTCCGCTGCTGCTGGAGTGCCAGGCGCGCCTTCTGGCTCTGTTGATGCTCCATTGACGTCTTGTGCACTTCAGACGTCACGTGCTTGTCGAGGGTAGCCGCCCGGCACATGATCAGGTAGTCGCTCTTCTCCATCAACGTGCAGGGGATGCAGGAATAGATTACTTAAAAAAAACACTGTGTGCAATGTACGGCTTTGCTTTTGTCGACCGGCGAGGGACGCAACGCGAGGAATGTCACGTAACGAGGACCGTCGCAGGAAAGGTCTCCCCCGGGTCGCCAGTTGCGTCGGTTTGCACACGTTTGCATGTAAAGACCTTCAGAATCAAATGGAAAATGGACAACGCAAAACAAGCCTTAGCCTCATTCCTGCTGGGATTTTCAAAGACGATGAAGACACAACCTTTGTACCGAGTTCTGCGGCCCGGAGGGTACCGTCTAATTCCCAAACCTTTCCTGATGAATAAGAATGTAAGATAATAACAATTTTTATGATCCAAAGGACCGTCCTTTGTTGATATCTATTTGTGTCTGTTCATATCCCGCAGGGGACTTTTAGAGGCGCCGCATTCCGTCGTTTAATTGGCCCTCCGCAGAAGGTCATTACGGTTGATCGTCTCTGAATAAGAAGATCTGCATTGAACTGTGATCTATAACAGTTGTAACCGGCTATTTCATCTCCTGCAGTCGGCAACAACAAGGCCGCATATGCTTGAGCATTGGTTATCTATGCTGATATCCTTATTATCGCTCAGTAGCGCTTTTCCGGTTCGGCTCCCGGCGGACCCTTTTTATAGCTACATCAACCGTCAATAGTCATCCGCACCGATATCAAGATAGAGTTATATGGCTGCAAACATGAAAACCAACCCGGCACTGTTACCTGGTCCTTCCCTTACGGAAGAAGCAATTTGTCGAGTTATTGTTGATTTTTGGGGCCGCATTCAGGGTTTCGCAGCTTTAGGAATTCCACGAAAAGGTTGGGAATCCGTTGGCGCACATCACCCCTTTTTGAGGATTATATCTGGCAAATTGATTTGTTCGCGAGAGCGGTTACCGATGAGAGGTTAATTATCTGAGATGATAATCTTTTGGTATATTAGTCTCTACTGCAGTGCACGGCCAGCTGGCCCGATGGCTCTACTCTTCGGGAGTCTGGAGCCCACTGTAACAACCACACAAGATAGAGATAGATGATTAAAAGTGTAGGAAAACAGTGCATACAACTTATGTTCATACTTGAGTATATCCTTATGTATATTTGCTTCGGCTAAACCGCATTGCCAAGGCGTTGCCGTTGAATTTTAAGAATATAGCAGCACAAAGCGTATGGCATCAGCCAACATTGAATGACTGAACACTTGCTGCATGTAGCAAATAAACCATGGCACGGGTGAATAGCGACCGTAGGATAGGCAGCACCACCAAGGACGTTGGCTTTGAACTTAGGAAAGGAATATAAAGAAATCTATTGCAAAGGTGTTCTGTGTTAAATCCGAAGGAAGCGCGCGGGGATGGTTCCTCTGCTGCTACAGGGCGCCTGATCGTTTCATATTCCTGCTCCATCTGCATCATCATAAGTCAGCCTTAGCTATTAAACGAAAGCTATAATGCTACAGTCTAAGGCCATTAGACCTAGCGTTTCTCGGTACGGATGCTATCCCTATCCTCTTGGCGATTAGCAGGCGACTCTGGGCGTTGATGGTTGAGGCTTGTATCAGGCCAATTTATTGCAGCCACGGACAGAATTTGAATCGGTAGGCAGTTGTCCTCCAAAAGCTACGACTGTGCCTTTTAAATGTCTCCACGTTTATCGCATCTTCGCCGAAAGCTAGAGACGAGCGAAACAAAACCTACAGAACTGTTGATGTGTGCATTTATAACGTGAGTATTTTACATGCATGTATAGGCATGTAATTCTTTGCCGTGGTTATTTGCGTCTGTTGCCGGGTACAGTATCGTAATCGGAATCCGTCTCACCAAGCTGTCGCAACTCTAAGCAATGCACAGCTCCACTTGGCTAGCATGACAAGTTGTGCATCGATTTAAATCGCGTGTATGTTTATTACATTGAAGAAAAGCATTCCCTTCGGAGGCATATTCACAGGAAGCTGGAGGCACATTGATTTGGTAGCAACCGTCGCTTATTATGGAATTTATCTTGCCTCATGCATATGTGCCTTTGTGGATCGCAGCCTTTACATTTGCAGGGAGCGGGGAGGAACGGGCGGCGATATGTACGATGATGAGCGCTGCCGTCTGCGATGCCCTTTGTGGGATGCCGTTCATCAGTTGATGGAATGCACAGACGTTATGAAGCCTGATGTTGCTTCATTCCTTATTGCTTAAAATCTTATTCCTTGGCAAGTCATAAAATACGAACCGCTCAGGGAGGGTTAGCCTCTTGACACAAACAACTCCATTGTCCAGAATTGATTACGTGTGATCTTCCTTATACCTTGCTTCAATACATAGGTAGATGCTCCGTGATCCACGCCAATTGGAAGGCAAAGCGGTAGGCGACCTTTTACAGGCAATCAGGCATACTATCAAAAGCCGTTAGGAAAATTAAATTGGTATCTGCTAATTTTTGGCATCCCTCATCCTGCTTCGATTTGACCCTGAGGTAAAATAAGGCGCCATCGAGTTGCGATATCTGCGTGAGCGCCTGTGCTGCGCCTTACAATTTACATTTTACAGCCTCGAATTCTCGTCACGCTGACAGGCTGTGTCTCCTCGTCGCGCGATAACTCGCTCGCCTTCCTCCAGACGTCGAGCAACGAAATGGACACGTCGCCTCAGCAACCAATCTTTGCAGCTACGGGACAGCTTGAAGATCCCGTTGTATTTCTTCCAGAGGAAAGAGCCAGTCGTGTAGATGGTTATAGGGATGCCACATGCCTTATTGACAGCATGCTCGCGTCAGGCTCAAAGCAGACCTACTCCCTCTCCAGTTTGCCAGATGAGGTACGCAACCATAATCTGTTCGCGGTAATTTTCTACTATGAAATCCTTTACTAAACGTCTGCCGGTACTTTTGCTTCACGTCGCACAATGCTGTTCCATCCTATCTCACCCTGTCCCACCCATCCTTATCACACATCACCACGACCAGCAGGCAACACCTCACCCAAGCCCAGCCACCACGCCAGTAACGCAAACATTGATAGCTCTATTCGCATTCCTGGTACCTTGCCATGCTGCAGATGTGGCTTCTGGTGCTGTCTTGGGCTGGGCTGCGCGCCTCTGCCGCCGCCTCTTCATGCTCCTCTGTCTTCCAGACCTACCATCAAGCTGTTAGAGCTACACCCATGCACTTGGCGCGGGCGCTGGTGGTTGACCACGGTATCTCAGGCGCAGCTGTGAGATTGTACAGCGATTCAGCAGGCCAACTTAGCGATCTGCATGCTGTACGCAGTGATGGGGGGGTTGCCACCACCTTTCAGGAGCTGCTTATGCTATCAGCGCCGCCGGGATCCACTGCGGCAGCGGCGGTGGTGTCAGCAGCAGCCGCGGCGGCAGCTGTGGCGGCAGCTGCAGTGGCAGCTGCAGTGGCAGCTGCAGTGGCAGCTGCAGCGGATGAAGGAGCCGGCGCTGGTGTTGCACCTGGCAGCGACGGCCCTGGCACTGCAACCACTGGCAGCGCTACCTCCGCAGCCGTCCGGCGCCTTTCATCAATCTTGGTACCGAGCGCAGTATCTTCTTCAGGTACCATGTTCCCGTTGTGCACCCGTACAGCTTTGGGCACCCCACTTGTGCTTATCTGCGTTCATCAAAAAGAACTCCTGCGAAGTTTTAAACCTACCCTTTGGCTTTCCGCTCATGTCCAACACTGTTAGATCGAAGTTACGAACCATGATGGTAGGCATAAGTTGTACCATTGCTAAAAGTTGTATCGGTACCACCTGGCGCAGAATCCAAGATGCCCCGATAACAGTTTCCGTACCTAACGGCCAACCGGTCCAACTTCCAATCAGTTATGCCATAGTATTTAACTGCCTGTTTAACGAACTACCTAAAAAATGTCAAACGATTTTCCGTAACAAGACATCCTTCTCCATACCTGGACACCAGTATCATGCAGGTGAAATAACCGCCAGCTAAATACCCAGCTACTCAACCACCTAACCACTAACCAACAAGTAGCCCGACCGACTGCAAGCCCATTAACCGTTCTTCCCGAAACGTTTTGCGAAAAAAACACGTTTTGCCCCTCCCGTCTCTGTTCGCCGTACTCTCCCTTGCATATGCCTCCTCTATCGTACCTTTGTGCCTGCCGTATGTGAATGAAACATTACATATTTACATCGAATCCCGCGCTGCGCACAGTTTCCTGCTTGGATCCGGGCACCATCTTTTCGTTTCGGCAGCTTGCAACTGGGCTGTTGGGGGCCGCTGCCTCTGCCGGTCACGTGCAAGTTGTGGCCCTGGCCCTGGCTCTGGGTGCATCGGGCATGGATAAGGCCCTTGTGGCCGCCAGCGCGGAAGGCCAAGTTCAGGTGGTGTGGCTGCTGCTGGCTCGGGGTGCGGACCCCAACGCCGTGTCCGGCTCCTTAGCGCCATCGGCGCTATTCAAGGCTGTGCAAAAGTGCGTGAATGCCTTCGTAGGACTGCACAGGCCGCTGTTTTTGAGAGGGTTTTGTGGGCGCGTTAGAGGGATCTACTTTTGTGGCATCAGCCCCAAAGTGGGCAGTGCAAAGGTCCGCGGACCTGGATCTAGGTTTTGCCAGCGAACATGCTTTGTCGTAGTTTTTCATTGTGGGAAAACCTCCATGTGCGCACCCTGCGCACCCTAACCCTTGCTTAAGAAGACGTGTTTCGCCGTGCTGCTCACTTAGCTCCTAATCGCCCCCCAAACCCCACACTCTCATATCCCTCGCAGTGGCCACACAAACGTAGTCAAGCTGCTTTTGGAGGCAGGGACGCAAGTTGACGGGCCCTGCATCGCTGTGCCGTTGTTCAAGGGCCGGTCGTACGCCGCTACCGTACTCCGTTTCGGTGCACCGGCATCTGCCGCCGCCAACCAGCCGCTGCAAGCTTACGCCCTGCGTCAGTGGCCGACTGTCGCAAGCTTGGACAGGTCTTGGCATTTCGGAGCGGCGAATGACGGCATGCAGCCGCTTCAGATGCCTGCGACCAGGACCGCTGTCACGACAGCTCCAGCGGCGGCTCCAGATCCGAGTCCACCGTCACGGCGAGGCGCGCTGCAGCCGCATGTAGCCCTCGGGACCGTCACTAGCAGCAAAATCTATGGCGTGGACGAGCCGGGCAAGCCAGCATTCAATGATCTGAAAGCCTCATCATCACAGTCAACTGCTGCCGTCACCTCCAGGGCCGACTGTATGACTGCGGCGGCCTCCAGCACTGCCGCCACTGTCGCCAACGCATCGGCCTGCACTTCCTCCTCCGCCTCCTCCTCCTCCTCCTCCTCCCTGGTGTGCTGTGAGATGCTCGCTTACGATGATGCTTTCCCCGTCACTGTTCCCGCTGCCATTGCTGCTGTGCCAGTGCCAGCAGTAGTACCGTCACCCTTCTCCACTGTCGTCGCCAGCAGCACCACTACCGTTCGCGTGCCAACAAGCACCGTCGTGTCCGGCTGGGACAGCGATGAAGATGATGAGGATCATGACATTGACGAACAGAAGGTCAACGACGGCGCCAGCGGTGGTGATGGCCCCAGCCACGACTTCCAGCTGTGTTTTAGCGCTCGAGTCGATGACAGCGGTCCTGGGGCCGCACCCTCCCCCCAAACACCTGAACAGAACCGGCGCGATAGTCACCAGCGGACCCCGCCGCCGCGCTGCCGGAAGCCGCCGCTGCCCCCGCTGCCACCACGACCACCGCGGCCACCAAGGCGCCGGCTGCTAGTATCTACACCGCTTCCGCCCCTTCCGCCGCTTCCTCCACTGCCGCCGCTTCCGCCGCCAAGCGCTGTGATGCCGCCGCTTCCACCGCTCCCGCAGCTACTGCCGCCGAGCTGCCGGCACGGTGGCACGATCTCACTGCTGTTGGCAGCGTGCCGTTGCGGTCACTCCGCTGCCGCCGCGCTGCTGCTCCGCCATGGCGCCAAGGTGGACCGTGAGGGCGGTTCAGAGCTGCTCCAAGCCGGACACCCGCAGGTTGTGGATGAGCTCCTCCACATGGTACCAGACCTCCGTGTTCATCTGGACCAAGCGCTCGTCGCCGCGGCCAGCGACAACCGCGTGGCTGTGGTTTCGGCTCTGCTGCGCCAGGGCGCGGATCCCGTCTACAGAGGGGCCTTAGCGCTGCAAGAGGCGGCCTTTCTGGTAGGGTAGCGGGCGTGTAGTGGGGTTAGGATGCGCTGTGGGATGCGATTGAGTGCAGCGCTGTGCGACATGCTGCCCGTTATGTGGCCTGCTGTGCTGTGTGCTGTGAGCTATCGTCGGCTCGGGGGGCAGTGGAAGGGGGCTCCATTTCTTTGGGCGCTAGTATGCCTTAAGTACGCGTCAGGAAAAGTCCTTTCAACTGTCTTGGCCGCACATGCAAGGATACCTGAAAGTTTGGCTCTTCTAACCCTAAGTTTGGTTCTTCTTCACACAGACGTTTGTGCGTTTGTGCCTGCAGGGGCACCGTACTGTGATAAAGCTGTTGCTAGAGGCTGGCAGTGCTGGGCTGCGAACCAGCGGAGCGCTTAAGCCAATCCTGGAGATGGCCCGCCGCTGCTGTCGCCCAGATGTACTGCAGCTTCTAGCGGATGCTGCCGCCGTACACCCGTAGACGTCCGAAAATGTACGAGGAGCAACAGTGTCTAGAAGCTACATGGGACAGCCAGCAGCAATAGCGCCAAGAAGCGCACAAAGATGTTGCAGCAGCAGGCCAGCTGTACGACTGCCACGCTGTCATACAGAGAAGGTAATATGTGTGTGTAAATACCCCGAATGTGTGTGTGTGCGTGTGTCTGTATCCTAATGTATAGATGAGGAGAAAAAAGACGGAGGCCCAGCCTACCACCATCATGTGTGAATGATGTATGGATGTATGGATGTATGTATGCACGTATGTATGTATGTATGCACGTATGTATGTATGTATGGATAGTCCCTCGTGTCATGGTGGGTTGTGCCTTGTATGTCCGGAGGCCGGAGCTGCAGGGCTGGCGGAGCTAAGAGGGTGTAGGTCTGGTCTGAGGGTCGGCTTAGGACTGCAGGGGGCCATGGAGGCTGCGGATTGCGGCAGTGGTGGCGGTTGCCATGTGCACCTTCACGCAGGATTAGACACGGTTTGGGGCACATCAGTTCTTCCAGGTATTGCCGGGGCAGGACGGAGTGCGCTGCAAGGAGGGAGGAAACTCCTTGCGGGTGCCTTCACTCCATCCGGTCCTGGCCGGCGCTGGCTTGGCGTGGTTGGTGGGAGGTCATGTCGCTTACGTTGCGGTAAGAGGGGTAAGAGGGGTAAGAGGCAAGCGAACCTTTTCCGATAGCCGTTTCTTAAGCCTATGCGCCTTGAAGATGCCTGGTGGTGGTTGCCCTGTGTTTCCGCCGTCATTTGCCTGGTAAAACACAGGGGTAACAGGTAAAAGGGCAAATCCTAAGCATTGCATGCTCTTATGCTCTTGAAGAGGATCGACGCCCGCCACTACCCTTAAATTTGCACCCTGAAGGGTTTCACTTTGGGTTTTAGTGCAGTGTTGATGAGGCATATGCAGCACGTGGCCGCTGTCTAGCGGATCATTCCGACTGGTATGCAACAAGCAGTGTATGAAGAGGCGGCGAATGACGAATGTGACTGGCAGTGGCGGCTTGTGTTATTGAAACTGCTGACAGCGAGCGGGGGCTGACAAAGCGTACGGATATATTAGCAGGCAGGTCTCTGTGCATATAGGATGACGTGGCCATCAACAATGCATCATTGGGATCGTTTGGATGCCGTTGCATATCGTTGGATCGGCCTCCTCGGCCCGGGGGAAGGAAAGATAAGGAGCGCATCCGCATGGGTGCGAGTGTTGCTTGGGCGCAGTAATACAAACAGCGTTGAAGAACGGACGAAAACGCCCGAGTTAAATGGCCCCGTAAGTTCTTTCCACTCTCCTCCCGGTATTCAATTTTGTTTCTTTGTTCTTTCTGTGTGCGCTTGTGTCGTGCTTCCCATTGTTCAGCTCTTCTGTTTCGTAATCTAACGCCGAAGCACTACTAATAGGCCATGGCTATGTAATATTAGATACTAAGGTGTATTGTTAGGTTTTATTATAGTATTCGTTTCTACGACGCTGTTCAGCATGTGATTATTACGTGTAAGTTGTTTGTTAGCAAGAGTTGGTGTGCGAACCGAACGGTACGAGGGGTTCAGAACGGGCATGCCCGGCAGGGTTGCGCATAAGTTGGTTAGGTGCGGCTTTTTAATATTTCCTCTTCCATGGATGCGGTCTTAGGGTTGTTAATTAGCAAAATGGGGAGGGTCCTAATAGTAACTATTATAGCTTGCCGTAGGTATTGTTATGTCTGTATGTACGGCATTGCCTAATTAGGTGTATGAAGGAAACACTGCTGACACCAAAACGCATAGCGAAAGATATGACTTCTGCACGTTGTTCCTTTTTTCTTTGATATTCCCGAGACGGAATTTTTTGGTTGATTTCCTCAGAACAGTTCGACTCTCTTGTTTTCTCGGCGTCTTGCCAGGTAAATACTTTGTAATCCAGGTGCCGTCCCCCTGGCTTGGTTAACTTGCCAGGGTTGCACCCGGTCGTGTACAGCGTGTGGTGTACGGCGGTGTACGGCGGTTGTACAGCAGCAGCCACATGCCGCAATGTGACCTTTTCGCTGCGAATCCCGTCATACGTATAAGCAACATGGAGCTTGCCCAAACTCTATGTTATGCGTAAATGAGCACGCACACGAACTCGCATGTGTGCTGGTTTGTGTTCAGATCGAGAAAAGGCGGTGCTGATGCCGGTGTTAGTGCTGACGGTGTGGCAATGAAGCTACTGGGATCTCAACGCGTTTGGGGGGTCTACCAAATGTCGCTCTGGTTGATGTTCCGGGATCTCGTCGGGTTGATATCCACCTTCTTTCCCAGAGAGAAGAATTGGAGGACTCGACTCGGCCAAGAACTGGGTGTGTGTGGTGGTTGTGGTGGTTGTTGTGGTTGTGGTGGTTGTGGTTGCGGTGGTGGTGGTGGTGGTTCCCCGGGCGACGGACCACATGGATGGACGCATGAGCTCCAGCAGGAGCCGCGAACAACATGCAAGTCGTGTTGGGGGGCGGTGTGTGTGCGTGTGGCGGTGCATGCGAGTGTGTGCCGCATGCGGGTGTCTCGACAGCTGGCTTGTGTAGGGGGCCGCATGTACAGGGCCAAGTTGCCGTGTAGAAGGCTGTGGCACTTACATATGTGGAGGCGATGACGACCAACAGGCAGGTTGGCTATAAAAGACTTTTTTGCTGTGCTATGCGACTGGGAGGGGAGTCTATCTGCTTTACGAGCATGCCTGCATCACATGCACGGTTTAGTCACAAATAAGATGTTATGGCACATGTGCATCGGCAGCCGCCAACCGCCAACTGACGCTTGCTTTGAAATGCTGTCATTGGCTAGCTGATGTGCATGGATTGCATGTGCATGGATTGCATGTGCATGAATTTCATGTGCATGTGCATGTTCCGCCAAGATGTACAGACCTGCAGGAGCCTGTCTGTCTGTCGCTGTTCAAAGCACCGTGGATGTCCTCGTGTTGAGCCTCGTGTCGTGTCGTGAACCCTTTCAGGTTTGCAATACTTTACCAGCGTTTGTCTGACAACAATGGATCCGAGGCGGGGTTCACTCTGTATGTTTGTAATAATGACTTGCTGCTATGTATCGCTTTGGTGGATCGATCGCAATTATCACGGAACGGCTAACCTATCCGGTTCTGCTGCCCGTCCAGATGTGTACGAACATGACAGGGCTGCAGAGGCGCCATCCACAAGGAAGCAGTTCCCGAGGGTGATCCCTCCGTCTAGTCCCTTATAGTATCCTGGAGGGCTTATCATCACGGAATCTGCATCCGCCGATCGGTACTTTTCCGAAGTTGTGATATAACACATCCCCAGCTACCTTGCCCGAGTTGGAAGCTCAGTAGGAAGTGGAGTGCACAAAAGGAAGTGGACTGGGGTGTGCAAAATTTAAAATAGATGCATGCATGAGCCGCCGATGACTCCATAATGCACAATTACTGTACGAGCATATGTACATGACCTGCAGTTGACGGAGAGGACCGTGCAAACAAGAAGACATACACAGTAATACCACCGCTGCCCTAACTGGGCTACGCAACCTCCGGTAGTTTCCGATACGTACTCCGGTATGTCATGGCCTTTCATAACCTCCGATAGCTTCTGGTAGCTTGCATTAACCTACCCGTCAGCGAGCGGATGGATTTTGCATCGGTTAGTTAGGTAATTAGTTAAGGAGATGTGGCTATGTATGTGCTTATCTACACCAGCATGCGATAAAAGGTGTAATGATTATTATAGTGTGTTGATCTGCAATGATGTAAGGGTAACATAATATTGAGCCCGACCCGGCGTGCAGACTAAAGGCATCGCCAAACTCCGCCGTACAATGTCGAACGACGAGCACGCCAAAATGACCAACTTCTCTGAAGAAGGAAAATGGTAGGAAAAGTGAAATTATTCATAACAGTAAAATCTCTGAAATTCCAACTATGATTTACAGGCGCCAATCTATTGCCTTTTAAGGGTCGTGCGCTCGAAACTATTGACGCCGGCCATGCTGAATCCAAGTGGCTGGGATAATCAGAGATAGGTTGTGAATTTATTGATGCAGGTCTTGGCCTCCCGGAGGGAGTCTAGTAACCAGCAACACAACCATTTTCTGACTTATGGTACTTCTCCAAGAAAGACACTGAGGGAAAAGGGATAATTGCGAGTATACTATCAATCAGATGGAACCGTGCCTCCTGCGGGACAAAGCGCTGAACGCGCTATGTTATGTTACCCACTATCGGAAAGGGTAGTTGACCATTCAGAGTTCCAAGCGGTGCTTTCCTCGATGGAGAAAAATATAATGGGAGTTACAATATTTTGATGGCAATTTCTTTGTTGATGTCGCTGGTGGATTAGCTCTGAGTGCGAATGCTTTACCTTCATCGTATCGTTGTGGGGAGCAGTAATCATTCGTCCTCAACCTCTTAAGCATTTTAGAACTGTAGATTTCATCCAGATGCAATTTCGGTATAATCCCAACTTACCGGTACTACACTGCTCCTACCTGGCTGGAAAGATACGGATGCACAGTCTTCTGTACAATGAAGGTTATGTGTTGCAGTATTGCTCAAGATGCATTTAATTTGTGCTCCAGAACTATTTAACTGATGCATAAGGGCCCTTCAGCTCCAGCGGAGGGCGGGAGCTCATTGCTGGCATTATAAATTGCATGTCGCCATAACGTTAAATATAGTCTCTGGATTACTGGGTAAGGCAAGCTAGTGTCTTATCCCTGTCGCCAAGCTGTAACTTGGCATCTCTGCTGCTGCAAGCATCCCTCGCCACTCCATGCGCAAACCATTCTGTTTACAAGCGCTGAGTCAGCTTCGTCCCAATATTTCTCGTCCTTACCGCAGCTGACGCGTCTTCTCTGCGTTCGTGTGCTGGCTGACGCGCGCCAGTGGCATCGCCATCGCCGTTCTCAGTCCGAAAAGTTCGCTTACCTCGGGGAACAGCTTACATAAACCATTGTACTCAACATAATCATCTACGTTAACAACGACACCATTAACCTGCTTTGGCAGAACTTACAGGACTCCTGTCTTTGGCATTAGGCTCACATTTTGCACGGGCTGGTGGACCTGCAAGACTGCAGCTAACCCGACAACGCCTTGCGGCAACATACTAACAGGCACTCGAAATGCACGGCGTCTTATTACAATACGGCGCAGCGGCGGCAGCGCGGTCACCGTTGCCGCAGCAGCAGCGGCCCCGACAGCAGCAGTCGCGCATCCGCCGTGTCATTGCGTCTCCATTAGCGCTCCTCCTGTCGGCCCTGCTGCCTCAGCTTCTGCTGTCGCCTGTTCCTTCACACGCATCGCTGCTGCAGCAGCCGGGAGAGGAATTGTTGGGAGAGCAGGGCGCGTCGCGCGCGATGGAGCGCGCCCTTCAGGTGGCTTCTTTTTGCCCTACTCCCATACGAGGCTGCAAGCGCTTCTTCAACACCACCAAACCAATCTTTTGCGAAAACCTTGCCTGGAGCTTTACGATGACGCTTGAAGACATCCTGAGGTACAACCCGGGAATCTATTGCCAGCAGCGAATTCCTGCGGGGTGCACCGTCTGCATCGGCATCGTGGCCTTGTTTCCCCCGCCGCCGCCACCGCCGCCGCCGCCGCCACCCAGCCCCAGCCCTCCGCCTTCGCCACCATCGCCTCGCCCGCCGCGGCCGCCGCCGCCATCACCACCACCGTCGCCTCGCCCGCCGCGGCCGCCGCCACCACCGCCACAAAAACCACCATCACCAACTCCAAGACCGCCGCCAAGGCCACGCCGACCGCCACCATCACCGCCGCCACCATCACTGCCGCCGCCACCACCGCCGCCACCGCCGCCGCCACCGCCACCACGGCCTCGGTCGCCGCCGCCACCCAAGAGGTCTCCGCCATCCCCACGTCCCCCCTCACCACCGCCGCGGCCGCCACCGCCACAGCCGCCGCTGCCGCCACCGCTACCGCCGAAAAAGCGGCCACCACCACCACCACCACGTCCACCATCGCCCCCACCGCGGCCGCCGCCATCACCGCTCCCGCCGCCTCCACCGCCCCCACCGCCGCCGCCGCCCCCACCGCGACCTCCGCCGCCACCTTCACCTAAGCCGCCTTCCCCACGGCCACCTTCGCCTAAGCCGCCCTCCCCTCGGCCTCCATCTCCGCGACCGCCATCTCCTCGTCCACCTTCACCACCACCGCCACGGCCGCCACCGTCACCGCCACCACCGAAACAGAGATCACCACCGCCGCGGCCACCACCACCGCCACCATTACAGCCACCACCACCACCACCGCCACCACCACCACCACCGCCGCCACCGCCAATATTACATCGTCACCACCACCACCGCCGCCGCCGCCGCCGCCACCGCCACCACCGCCGCCACCGCCACCACAACCTCGCCGGCGAATTTCCAAGCCGCCTCCCCCAAAACCACCATCTCCCAACCCCCCTCCCTCTACCCTCCCAAGAAGTAATGCCGTCATGAAGCCGCCGCCTCCTAAGACTACCTTTAGACGGCAGATGTCCCAAAACGAAACATTCCCCCCAGCTCCCCTAACCCTTTCAACGACTACCAATAATCCAAGCGACCCGTCCAGCCCATGGTGAGGCCTGGGTTGTGGTCTTACGGTTATATCTATGTGCGATATCCACATGCGATAACTGAAACGTGCGCTATGGGTTGCGATGATATATGGTTTGGGAGCTTGAGGAGATGCGCCTGGGAGGACTACCTTGTGAAGATGATTTACAAGTGCTGTGTGTCTGTATGTGCACGTTCCAACCTGCCATAACGGCTGTCCTGCACCTCTATATCATGTCGATATCGTCATGCAGCGTTTAATCACGGGGGAAGGGGAGGAGGGTACGCAGGGTTTTCGCGGTTTGGTGTTGTTCCCCGCAGGACATGCTAGCTGCTGGGCAGCAGCCACAGCAGCAGCCACAGCAGTTGAAGTCCTTGGTAGTTGCAACGGCGGGCCATGTTCTCCCCAAATACCGTTGGCGGTCGTCTACGTTTCTAAGTTTAGGAATTAAAGACGAAGCTTAGATCCGCTGGCGAACTTAAACAGCAGCAACTTCTTGGTTTACGGATATTAACGGTGCAGTGCCCTTTCCTTCTTCTTCTTCCTTCCTTTCTTTCTTTCTTTCTTTCTTTCAATGCCCCAGCGGTAAAGTAGCGTTTGCACCTCCGTTATAATCTTGAGATAGAGACAGAACAGTACACGCGCGCGTTTCACACGTATATCACACAATGCGATGCATTTACTTGGGGCCGGAATGCACATCCAACAGACAGCCATGTACCGCACCCAGTTTGGAAAAGCAAAAGGAATGCACATCGATATGGGACCTTAATTAGAAGCCTCCGAGCCTCGGGGCTCCTCACCATATCCCTGTTTGTACAGCTGTCGTACGAATGTATGTACTGCACGCCATGTCCTGCAGGTACGTGGATGTACAGGCCACGCTAGCCCGCCATAACCAGTATCGATCATGGCACCAGGCGCCGGCCCTGGCCTGGAGCTCAAGGCTACAGTCGGCTGCCCAAGAGTGGGCGGATAACTGCCAGTGGGTTTCGGGATGGGTACCCTGGTATGGCTACTTTAGTCGGATATAATACGGACAGCTTCTGATTCCATCCATGAAAACAGCAAATGGCTCAAATGGTGGAATCATTCCAACCCGACCATTTCAGGAAGGTCCTGTCCAACCCTGGTGGAATGGACAAAGAGTTGCGAGTTGCTAAATACGTCGAATAGATTCCTGTTATACCTGTTGCAGCAGACGCGTTCGGCGGGATTCCTTTTCCTCCCCTTCGGAGCCCCCCCCAGGAGCTACCGCGGGTGTTAAAGGCTTCTCGGCGGGAATAGCATTACTATCATCATCGCACTAGGGTGACTCACTAGGGTTACAATAGAGTTGTAAGTACGAGGGGGGTTCCTGTGAACAGCTTCACCATCCGCTACTTCCGAAACCTACCTAACCCAGTGCGGCTAAGAGGAGACTGGGGAGGTAACCTGACAAGTGTATAACATATCGTCCCTTTTGGGCCCTTTCCATGACGCAGGTTCAAGCACAGCGGGTCATTGTACGGCGAAAATCTGGCGTTCGGCCAAGAGAACATTATCGCCACCATCGATGGGTGGTGAGTACGGATATTGATTTGCGTTTCCTTTGTTGCCACAAAGTTAATGCAACTGGGAACCTGAACCGTCTTAGCTCACTGCTTTGGGACTACTCCGGAAGTTCCATGTGTGTGTGTGTATGTATGAGTATGTATGTAGTGTGTGTATGTATGTGTACGTGTACGAGTGTCTGTGCGCGTGTGTGTGCGTGTGTGTGTATATGTGCTTATATTTTATATTTGTTTTATATGTGTGTATGTGAACGTTACTAGTACCTGGCCGGAGACACTGGCCAGGGACTGCTGCCCAGCCCCAACGGAAAGACCGCCCAAGCTCTCTCCCGCGGACGGGAGAGGGGAGTGAGGGGGCCTCTGTCCCCTCCTAAGCAGCCGAGAGCCGCAGTTCTGCTAGTTCCGCTCTCTCCCCCTCCCCCCGGGGGATGAGAGGCGTCACACCCGCACGAGTCCAGGCCTCCGTCACACGAGTTTGTGCACTGAAGCACGAACAAGACTCCTCTCCATTCCCAGCCTGATCCGGTGTGTGTGTGTGTGTGTGTGTGTGTGTGCACATGGCCGCAGGTATGCTGAGTCCGGAGAGTACGACTTCAACAACCCGGGAGTGAGTATTTTTTGAAATCCTGTCATTAGTCGGATTCCAGGGCGGTGTCCAGGAAGCTTAATTCCAGGGCAGGACATTTTGATATGCAGACATTGAAGGGCGAAGGGTCTCAGCGAGTTTATGTGCAGGGGGGGGCCTACACATACTTGGCGGTTTATGGTTTTTCGGAGCCGGGTTCTTGAAAGGCCCGAGCGACCTACAGGTGGTGGAGGCTCAACCACCTCCGTCAAGTTCGTGTGTTGTTCCCTTACTCCTCTATACCTACTACCCACCTACCTGCCTACTTACCTACCTACCTACCTACCTACCTACCTACCTACCTACCTGCCTGTCGTCACCCTTGATATCTTCTGCCGTAGTTCTCTTCAGCCACGGGCCAGTTCACTCAGCTCGTGTGGGCGCGGACCACCCTTGTGGGCTGCGCCATCGGTGTGTGCCCCAACGGGGTGTCGTACCTGGGCGGCCAGTGGTTCGGCAAGCTGTACGTCTGTATGTATTGGCTGCCAGGTATGAAGGGACTCGTTAGCCCCTGTATTACGGGAGTAGTGCCGTAATTTGACTGTACGGTGTTGATAAGCGCAACCTTAGCGTGCATGCTTACTACTATGCACATGTTTTGCAACTGGCCTGGAATTCATGGGAGCAACAAATGTGCTGGACGACGGGGGTGTCGCACCCGCTGCCATATACCTGACTGTCGTTTACTATTGCATGTGTAATCCACGCGTTGAAGCCAAACCAGGCAACGGCAACGGCAAAGGTTTTTGGTTCGAGGCCCTAGGATGACTGGGCGCACTAACAATCCTCTCCATACCACAACTCTCTCAAACGTACCATGGAAGTACGGGTCTCTGGTGTGTGGGTTCTCTCCGGCATCCTCATATGTGTAGTAGGTATTACAGCGAGCCCCAGACCCCAAGGAAAAAACCAAAGGTGATGTGCGAGCTAAGGCTAAGCCTCTTCTCCGTTGCGCTTGTCACCTAATTTGTCGTTGTGCGTGCGTGTGTATTTGTTTTCTTTACAGGGAATTATGCCGACCAGTTCACCCACAACGTACTGCCCAAGGTCGAGGGACGCCGACCGTGGATGGGTGTCACGCAGCAGGAGGACGGACGAGGGGCTATACGAAGCTGATTATTTTCTCAGGTCCCGCTGCTATCATAGATTGCTGCGAATAATTTGCTTACCTCACTGCAAGATGCTCATAACGAATTCTTGGCGAAATTGGCGGCTATCATTTGAACCTGGCGGAGCGCATAGTGCTGACACAAGATTATCATATAATGCTAATAAGAATGCACTAAAATCAGTTTGAATTTGATTTGCTCTCTCAGAGCTGAAAGTGGTTTGCTTAGTTTTACTTGCTGTACCTAACGCTGTGACTGCTGTGACTGCCCTGTTCCCTTTAATACGTTGTTTGGCGGCTTACATACCGTTCGCACGGAAGCTGAAAACTGCTCCGGCTACGGATTCTGACATAGCAAAACAAGTTGACCGAAGCGGTTTGTCGGTTACAGGTAGTTGTCCGGCCTCTATCGGCCCGGGTTGGGGACATTTGTTGGAGGTTGACTGGTTTTGACGGTCACAATTTACCTTTCGTACCTCGTATTTGGCCTGGTTCGTTGCGCATTTGGACATCGCCTCGTGCGTACAGCTCGCATGCACATGTGATGAGGAAGCTGCTTGCGACACCGATTTTGCGGAAGCCATTAATTTACATCGAGGTTGCCTTACTAGTTACTTCATGGCTCTCACGTAAACATTGGCGCATGCATGAATCAAGAGCACGTTTTGGTGGGCTGCTGCTGCGTTGTTAAGGTCTTAGTTTTGGCGAGCCGCTCAAAATTCCTGGTCTAGTTGATCATACCGTTGTCAGAGCTCAGGGTAGACGCTTACCAAGCAAGCTCCCTTGGCGAACTCGCAGAAGCGGAGGGAGCGCGACATGGCGCAACCAGCTCGCCCGCCGTACCGACCTCACTAATAGATGTACATCACAATACGCACGGCTGTTGAAATGACTCTATACTCTATGTTCGTGCTATGTTGGTGCTGGCTAGGTGTCAGGCTGGCTAGCTGATGGCTGATGACACGCAAGCCACTACATGGACCGAGTGCACCATTGCACGCCGCCATGGCGCAGTAACATACATACATTCCGAGTTGTTCAGGGAAAGTGCTGATCGAAGCTTTGCGCGCACGCGCCGGTGTGCTGGGCAGATAGACCCTGCAGGCTGTGTTCAATTACCACCCTGAAACAGACTAACCCTGGAAACAGACTCCTGTAAACGAAAGCGGAGACCCAACACCGGGTTGTGGCTGCTGGATTTTCATCACTCATCGGCGGTCCGCATGCCGGTGCATGATACCCAAAAGTGTCCTCTGATGTTTTAACTTTTGGCGGCCTGATGCCCCTTGCGGGCGGGTATCTCATCTCCCTAAGCAGGCGTGCATGGCATGTTTAGTGGTGCCTGCTGCCGCTGTGGATGTGGGCACACCCAGGCGGACCCAGGTGGACGCCAGTGTAGGTGCTCGCCACGCGTGGCGCCAACGCCATGGCTGCTGGGGCCATGTGCGAGCGAAGCAAGTTACCCTTCTCTGAAACGCAGGTGCTTGCGTGTGGCGGGGAGCGCATCGACCATCCTTCCGCAGCCGGCCTTTAACGAAAACCTCAAACCATTTAATAAAGCATTGAAATGCTTGCAGCGGGAGACGTTTTGTCTCTTTATTTCAGGCTTTTAAAAGCCTGAAATAACATTCCCTGAAATTTCAGGCAAATCGTCGTATGCAATGTTAATAGACAAGGGCCGTAACTTCTAAGCATGCTGGCAAGTATGAAGATTTTACAATACGATGCATTTTTGGAAGGCGGAAACTTAGTCTACTGGTGTTTCACATCGTTCGGTAGGTAGGTTTCGGTGCCAATTAGGCAAGCGTGCGATTCAAAAGTCGTGTCCCACTGGGAGTGCGAGCGACTAGGTAAACAGGTAAGGTAGTAGTAAGTAGTTATTACAGCGAGCCCCAGATACCCCAGCAGGGTAGTAGAGGGCCATCGGGCCACAACGGACCCTGCACAGTACTGCACCGGGAATCTGTCCTGATGAGATGAGAACACACACCTTCACCACAGCAGCAAAATATGTAATAGCTGGCGGCTGAGAAAGCCTCTCGAGATGCTGGTCGAGCGCTTTGCGCGTATTTGTGGCTGATATGTGTGCCGTACTGTGCACCAGCTACTACACGATATAGGTCATCACCCGGAAGCCTGAGAGACTCTGCATGGGAGGCATGCATGCCCCAGCGGCCCACTACTCAAGTGCGAAGTAGCCTGCTATAGGCCCCCCAAGCAAGGAAACTTGTAATCTTAAAACACGCCTAAATGAGACGCGATGCGATAAAGGCGGGTTGGTGATATTGGCGATATCGGCGATATAAGTATATAATTGCATATATGTATAGCTAGCTAGCCCTATAGCTAGCTATAGCCCTATATATGGCATAAAAAGATCGGTAAAATAAAGGCGATAATTTATAAATCCTACCAATCGGTAATATTACCCGTAGATAGCGTAGACAGCAGTAGTGCGTACGTACTGCTGACGGCGAGCGACGTTCACAAGACGCTTCGGCACATACCCTACCGCATGTTATTGGCCCGATAATGGGAACGCCTGGTAACCGGCCTCGATTACCAGGCTATAAGGTTACTGGGCTGTTAACGGGCTAGGGTCGTTAATCGGCCAGTTACCCGTAATCAGGCTCCATTACCAGGGTGGTTTACCAGGGTCGTTTATCGGGCGGCCAGTTACAAGTTACCCGGTAATCAGGCAGCATTATCGGGTGTTTACCAGGTCCTTTATCAGGCGGCCAGTTACAAGAATGTCCCCGGTAATGGGGCAATAACATAGATATTATCAGGACGTTAACCGACCAAACTCTTACGCATTAAACAGCGATTACCAGCTTCATAGCGGGTTCATATTATCCTACACAAAGCATTGCCCAATGGCCTACTACAACCTGCTCACATCTCTCAATCGGTACCACGAGGACTATAGGCCCTTCTTTAGTCAACATTAAGAATCACTTGAAACTGCAGGCTGTCGTGTCATACGACTGTAGCACCGAACAAAACACGTGTTTTGTTCGCACGTGCACGTGCGTACGGCAGACTATAAAAGACGATTATAAAAGACGGTAAAATGAACATGACGCTAAAATGTCGTGACAAGGCGCCCTCCAGGTTCCTGATCACTGCCCGCGGTCTGC